CTCTGCCCCAACCCAGATGGCATCGAGGTCGTCCCCAGGAACAGGCAGGGCTGTTCCAGAGGAAACGGAGAGAAGCAGAAGGAGCTGAGTCTGGAATGCTGAGCTCAACGTTGAGGTCTTTGCCTCAGTAAAAACAGTGAGCACGGGAGGCACTCTCCCCACCACCCACCCTCTGGGCTGGAGAGCGGGCACCGCAGAGCACAGGCAGGAGAGGGCCTGCTTCCCGGGTGAGGGTGTGTAGCTGCCACCCTCTCAGAATTCCCTCCCCATGCGTACATGTCAAGCAGACTTGGCCGCGTGGCTCCTCTGGGCAGAGAGGGCCTGAGCCGGCCCCTCCCTCAAGTTTCTTACAGAAATGTCTGCGAGAGGGGTCTGGGGCCAGAAAGGATGATACAGTAAACAGGAGGCTGGTGGCCCACGGGCCCTCTTCGTGAATGCTGGCAGGTGTGGGCACCAGCAGGGTGGATGCTGGCATGGACAAGGAGGCCAGAGGCCATCTTTACGGATCCCAGCAGGGATCCTGAGAGTGACCAAGATCAGAAGCCCTCTGCCTCCTGACAGCACTAGCTGGAACGCCAGGGAGAAAGGGAGGCAAAACCGGAATGGCTGAGGGAACCCTGAGTTCCCTGAGAGAAGGTTCCCACACCACCCAACAGGGGCAATTAAGTTAAAGTCAGTTAGGGAAACTGTCCACACATCTGACTTTGCTGCCTGTGAAGTCTGTACCTGCCACAAAGGCACCGCACCCCAAGGAGCCCTGCCACCAGCATTGCCCGAGAGAACGAAGGGCGGTGGGTCTTCCTGCGGCCTGGAGAACGGTGGGTGAGCCATTACCAGGACTTTGAAGTCATAGGAAAGCCTGGCCTCATTAGGCACTTACTGTGTGCCTGGCACCATGCTCAACATTAAATAGAGTGTTTCTGGGTGAAAAGTATTCCCATTCAGCAGATGAGGAAACTGAGGCACAGAGGTATTGCATAGGGGCGCCAGGATGCACTGGGCGATTTCCCACAGGATGGCTCACGTGGCGGTGGATGCAAAGATAGGCTCCTCGGGTAAACTAGAGTACTGTTCTGGGACTTGAAGCCCGGAGGTAATGTTGGGAAAGATGGGAGGTTTGGGAAAGACGAGATTAATTAAAGTGCTGGTTCTCGGAGGGGACTCAGGCGGGAGTGGCGCGCCCTCTGGTGGACACAAGGAGAATGGCAGCTCAGGGGCTCTGCCCAGCTCCACCGATGCCCATGAATGGAAAGGGTGGGCAAAGCTCAGAGACTGTGCCCAGAGGGGCCACATGTGGTGTGGGGTCTGGACTCAGCATGGCTACTCCGGAGGGTCCTGTCTGGGAAGGAGCATTCTATCAGGAGAGAGAAGGAAGGAAATGGACCTTCACTGAGCGCCAATCATATGCTTAGAAAAGACACGGAAAACAATGCTATTCACTTTAAAAACGGGCAAAGATACACAGGCACATGCAAACCAAGAGAAAACTGAGGGCATGGTCGCAAGATCAAAGTTAAATTTTTTTTAAAAAGTTAAAATTCAACTCAGGAAGAATTATATGGGACAGAGCAGATCTCTAATCTCTTTTGATCTTAATCTTCTTCAAGACCACAGAAGACAAAATGCATACCAAATAACATAAAAACATGTACATCAAGAAACTGAAGCCGGCCAGCGTGGCTCACTGGTTGAGTGTTGACCTATGAACCAGGAGGTCACGGTTCAATTCCTGGTCAGGGCATATGCCTGGGTTGTGAGCTCAATCCCTAGCAGAGGGCATGCAGGAGGCAGCCGATTAATGACTGTTATTGATGTTTCTAACTCTCTCTCCCTCTCCTTTCCTCTCTGAAATATATATATATATTCATTTTTAAGAAAGAAAGTGAAAAGACAACCCACAGAATGGGAGAAAATATTTGTAAATCTTATAGCTGATCAGGGACTTGTATCAGAATATGTAAAAAAAAATCTTACAACTCAACAATAAAAAGACAACCCAATTTTAAAATGGGTAAAGGATTTGCGTAGACATTTCTGCAAAGAAGATATACATATGGCCACTAAGCACATGAAAGGATGCTCAACGTCACTCGTCACCAGGGAAATTCAGAACCACAATGAAACATCTTTATTCTATTGCCCTTTGCTCTGGAGAGAGGTGCTGTCTCTGACTTACAAGTAGGTTTACAATTGTTAGTATGGAAAATAATACAATCTTATATAATAAAAGGCTAATATGCAAATTGCCCGGCCCGATTGGGGTGCGCTGGCCGGACCCCACTCATGCATGAATTCGTGCATTGGGCCTCTAGTAATTAATAAAAAACAACACAAGAATAAGCTCTGTGTTCTGCGTACTCACAACTGTAAACCTATGTTTGTCCCACCCTGCATATACACATACATGTACATACATACATGTATAAAAATTAAAGCCAATGTGGTGAAATGTTAACCATTGGTAAAGGGTATATGTTCTTGCAATTTTTATGTAAGTTTAAAAGTACATCAAAACCAAAGCTATTCCCCTACACCCACAAAAAGCTAACACATAAATAAAAGAGCTCATTAAATGCCCAGAGTAATAAATGAAACTTGTGGCTGCCTCCCCAATAACACTTTTACTTCTTCCTTGCTAATGGGTCCTGATTTCAGCACTATTAGGCTTTTTAACCTACACAGTGAAATACTTTGATTTTAAAAATAAAAAGAATAAGAGGGCCCCCACAACCAGAAAAAGTGGGTGCTATTGAGAGAATGTGTGAATGAATCAGTGAATAGGTAGTGAGTGAAGGGACAAAGCAGGCGAGTGATGTGTTTTCTTTCTTTTTTTTTAAAAAAAAATATATTTTTATTGATTTCAGAGAGGAAGGAAGAGGGAGAGAGAGATAGAAACATCCATGATGAGAGAGAATCATTGATCTGCTGCCCGCCACTGGGGATCAAGCCCACAACCCAGGCATATGCCCCTGACCGGAATCGGAATTGAACCTGGGACCTTTCAGTTCACAGGCCGATGCTCTATCCACTGAGCCAAACCGGCCAGGGCTGATGTGTTTTCATATGCAATCCCGCGGCACCTCGATGCCGGTCCACTCAGGTGAGGAGGGACAGATGGCTCTGTGTATAGCTGGCAGCTGGGTTGGCCAAAGTGCGTTTTCTTCCCTCTTTCAGGTCAGGCCAGGCGGACCCCTGCTTGCTGCTTCCTCTCTCTGCAGGGTTCTCCTGACTGCATCCTGGGCAGAAAGGCGCCCGGGCATGCCGGGTGACAGCGCCAGGCTGGCCACCAGGGGGCCAAGATCTAGCCCAGGCCTGTTTCCAGCTGCCCCTGTGACTACTGGTGAGCATTTCCCTTTCTTGGGCCGGGTTTTCCACATTTGCTTCTTAAGCAGTTTGGCCAAATTAGTAGTTCTCCAACTTCGGCCGCCATTTAAACCAACCGGGGGACCTTTTAGAAGTTCCAGGGTGCAGGCTGCACCCCAGAGTGACCACGTCAGACTCTTTAGAGGGTGGGACCCCCGGTGTCACGGGTTTTCACTTTTATATTTTCAATTATGTTTTTATTAATTTTTAGAGAGAGAGGAAGGGAGAGGGATAGAGAGAGAGCAATATGGATGAGAGAGAAACATCGATTGGCTCCCTCCTGCACACCCCCTACTGGAGGTGGAGCCTGCAACCAGGAATTGAACTGGTGACCTTTTGGTTCCTGGGTGGATGCTCAACCACTGAGCACTCGGGCCGGGCAGGTTGTTTGTTTTCTTTAAATCATCAGGCAAGGATATGCTTCTATTGACTTTTAGAGAGGAAGGGAGAGAGGGAGAGGGAGAGAAACATCAATTGGCCGCCGCCCACACCCCAACGGAGGATCGAACCCGCAACCCAGGTATGTGTCCTGACTTGGATTTGAACCCGCAACCTTTTGGTGTATGAGACAACGCTCCAACCAATGAGCCACCGGGCCAAGGCCACCCGTTTTAAAGTCTTCCCAGGCGATCCCAATGCTCGCTTAGTATGAGAACCTGTGGGTCATGCTCCCCATGTTTCCCTCCAGCATCACGCTGTTGAGGCCCACTCTGATGCCCGTCCATTGCCCTGTCTTCTGTGATTGGAGGGTTAAATGAAAGGTGAGAATCAGCCCCCCCTCTGCCCTCCCCCCCACCTGTGGGTTCCTGTCCTCAGCCTGCCTTTGGGGCAGCAGCCTGCTCAGGACTTTGCCCAGCTCCAACCACCCTTCATTTGCACCTCCTGCTCCAACCCCTGCCTCCTCCATTATGTTTGAAATCCGTCTTCCCAGGTATGGGTTGGAGGCCTCTTGCTTTTTGTTCCTCGCAGCTGCTGATGAGGGGCCTGGGAGGAAAGGGAGATATAATTGGGGAGGTGGGGGAGCCTGTTCAGTTCGAGATACTAAGCATTTGTTTTTTCTTATCCCCGAGGCAGCAGCTGTTAACCTTTTCCAAGGAGGGCTGACCCCGCCTGGGTCTGGCAGGGTGTGGGTGCCCTTGGGTGAGCTCTGAGTCTGCACTGTCTCCCAGTGGACACAGCCTGAGGAGGGAGGTTGGAGCCTTGAATTCCAATCCCTCCTTCCACTTGCTCCATCCTGTGCAAGTCAAACAACACACCTGAGCATAGTTTGCCCATCTATAAAATAGGCCAGCACCTGCTCTCATTGGGCCAATGAGAGCACGCGATTCACGCTGATTCAGATGCGCTGAGGCTTTAGAACATGCTGTTTGTTTGGTTGGTAGCTCGTGCAGACGTGTGAGTGTGGGGGTGGGCTTGCTGACTGGAGTACAGAGCAGACCCACGGCGGGGCGGAACCCCAACAGGAGGTGAGGGAGAAGCTCGCAGGTGAGTTTGGAAGTCCTGTTTCCTACATGGGCCTCCAGGAGGATTGGGGAGGGGCCTGAGGAAGAGAGGTACTGGGGTGACGCTGCAGCCATAAGGCCCGTGGCCCTCCCCCACTGCCAATGGTGTAGTCAAGAGCAGAGCAAGCAGACCAGGGGTCTTTTCGGGGTAAGCAAGTATCAAAGCTGCAACAGACAAAGAGAGCAGCAGCGGTCACTGGTGCTCACCACCCGCCAGGGGAGGTTGTGCTTCTTATTTTTTTAAATGCATTTGTGTGTTTTTAATTAAATCTTTATTGTTGAAAATAGTACGTGTCCCCTTCCCCTCCCCCCACTGACCCCTTCTAGCCAGCTTTACCTATCCCAGGCCTTCACCACCCTATTGTCTGTGTCCGTGGGTTATGCATATATGCACTGTTGCATGCTTCAATGTCTCTGGATCTATTTTGTTCATCAATTTATTAGATTCCACATATGAGTGAGGTCATGTGATACTTGTCTTACTCTGATTGGCTTATCTCACTTAGCATAATGCTCTCCACGTCCCTCCAAGCTGTCTCAAAGGGTAAGAAACCATTCTTTTTTACAGCTGCGTAGTGTTCTATAGTGTAAATGCCCCACAGCTTTTTTATCCACTCATGTACTGATGGGCACTTGGGCTGTTTCCAGATCTTAGCTCTTGTAAACTGTGCTATGAACATAGGGGTGCATACATTCTTTCTGATTGGTGTTTTGGGTTTCTTATATTCCTAGAAGTGGGATCACTGGGTCAAATGGCAGTTCCATATTTAATTTTTTGAGGAAACTCCATATGTTTTCCATAATGGCCACACAGTCTGCATTCCCACCAGCAGTGCACTCTGGTTCCCCCTTCTCCACATCCTCATCAGCACTTGTCACTTATTGATTTGTTGATGGTAGCCATTCTGACACATGTGAGGTGATGCCGCATTGTCATTTTGATTTGCATCTCTCTGATGATCAGTGACCTTGAGCATTTTTTCATGTCTCTTGGCCATCTGTATGTCCACTTTGGAGAAGTGTCTATTTGTTCATTGGACTGTTTGTCTTCCTTTTGTTAAGTTGTATGAGTTTCTTATATATTATGGGTATTAACCCTTTATCAGATGTATCGTTGCAAATATGTCCTCCCTTTTCATTTTGTTGGTTTCTTTTGCTGTGCGGCTTTTTGTTTTGATGTAGTCCCATTTTATTTTCTTAGTTTTCTTTGCCTTAAGAGATGTATCTGCAAACATGTTGCTATGAGAGATGTCTGAGATTTTGCTGCCTGTGGTTTCTTCTAGGATTTTTATGGTTTTACAACTTACATTTAAGTCTTTTATCCACCTTGAGTTTATTCTTGTGTATGGTATAAGTTGGTGGTCTAGCTTCATTTTTTTTTGCATGTATCCGTCCAATTTTCCCACATCATTTATTGAAGAGTCTGTCTTTACTCCATTCTATATGCTCTTGTCTCCTTTGTCAAATATTGAGTGTAATGGCTTGGGTCGATTTCTGGGGTCTCTGTTCCATTTCATTGACCTATATGCCAGTACTAGGCTGTTGTTTTTGTTTTTTTCAGGCTGTTTTGATTACAGTGTCTTTGTAGTATAACTTAATATCTAGTGGTGTGATTCTTCCAACTTTGTTCTTAAGATTGATGTGGCTACTCGGGGTCTTTTTTGGTTCCATGTACATTTTTGGAGAATTTGTTCTAGATTTGTGAAATATGCTGTAGTTTAATAGGGATTACATTGAATCTGTAGATCAGGGGTCCTCAAACTTTTTAAACAGGGGGCCAGTTCACTGTCCCTCAGACCGTTGGAGGGCCGGACTATAGTTAAAAAAAAAAACTATGAACAAATTCCTATGCACACTGCACATATCTTATTTTGAAGTAAAAAAACAAAACGGGAACAAATACAATATTTGTATTTGCATGTGGCCCGCGGGCCGTAGTTTGAGGACCCCTGCTGTAGATTGTTTTAACTTTCAGCCTCAAATTTGTAAATTGGAAGAATGTGTTATTTTAGTTATATTTTTTTTGACAGGGAGGTTTCCGTTTGTAAAACAAAAACACCTCCCTCGCTCCCCTCCCCCCCAATTACAAAATGCAAGTCTGATTATGACAGCCCCTTGCTGTAAACTGCCTAATGGCTTGGGGGTTGTTCTAAAATAGACAAAAACCTTTCATTGAGACCAGGACTGTCCAATAAAAATACTATGTAAGCCACATTTTAAAAGGTAAAAACAGGTGAAGTTCATTTTAACCTATTTACTTGACCCATCTATCAAATCCTAGTATTTTATACCTAGAGCATCTCTCATTTCATGTGGCCAGTGGCTACCCATGCGACAGCACAGGGCAGCCCTCCCATGGCCTGGCTGCTGCCTGCATCCTCAGTCCCTGCAGCCACCATCGCTCCCCCACGGATCCCTGGAAAGCTCTTCTCTCTCTTCCTTCTGGATCTAAAGCTGACTCATCTTTCAGATGTCAGGTCAATGCCTGGCCTTGAGATTCCTTTCTAGACGCCCCCATCTCATGCTTTTCTCACCACGCCCACAACTGTACTTTCCCATGTACTTAAGACCACTCTCCCACCAGCCAGCTTGTAACTCCAGGACAGAGACCAGTGCGGGCTTTTGTTGTTTCAACATCACTCCCCGGGCTTAGCATCTTGCAGAGTAGGCTTTCAACCTACTGCGGGGTGGAGACTGAGTATGGTGTAATGTTCGCTGCTTTTTCTGCTCTCTGGGAACGGCTCCTTATAAAGGGACTCCTCCGTGTACCTCTGCTAGAGAACCCGACACAAAGCACTCAGTGCTGAAAATGTTTAAGTAGAAATTTAAGCACAAAGATAAATATTTCTTCCCAGGGACTCCTCCGTGTACCTCTGCTAGAGAACCCGACACAAAGCACTCAGTGCTGAAAATGTTTAAGTAGAAATTTAAGCACGATGATAAATATTTCTTCCCCAGATTACGCACCCCTTAAAAATACTCCGCTCCTTCTCATGATTTGGGCTGTAAGGAAAATTACTCTTCAAGCTTGAAAGTAATTATTGCCCTTCGGTGACATTTTCCCCTTGAGAAGCTTCGGAGGAGGAAGGGGACATCACTGTCCCTGTTTAACGGGCAGATCTGAGCGCCAAATGTGGAGGTGCTGCCGTTTCTCCTTTCTGTTAACACTCTTCCAGGTGAACAGCAAGCTCAAACCCAGTTGCCCAAAGGATCCAGCTGATACCAAACTTGATGACCCCCATCGAGGAGAGGGCTCCAGCCCCTCAACCATGTTGCAAAGCCAAACTCCTCCACCTTCAGTCACTATTGTTCCTTCTTAGGACAGTAAATTTGAAGACTCCCTCTACGCCACTGCCCCCAAACATGGTTGAATTATCCATTTCTCAGGGCCTACCTCTTTCTCACCTTGAAGTCTCGTGTGCACGCGGTAGGAATCACTCGAGAGCCTCAGACTACACATTCCCTTGCAGCTTTCCAAAAACCCAACCTAGTGCAAACAACTCTGGTGTTGTACAAGGGCGATGCATTTAAATATCAATAGTATATTTCAAATCCTAGCCTACCTCCAAACTGCAAGCTTTTTGTTTGTGGGTTTAACAGGCATACATCCCAGAGCCTGCCCAGCACCTCCCGAAAAACCTCAGATAATGAAAAGATTATAGCTGCCGACACAAGCTCCATATCTACTTATTATTCAGTTCTTGGGATTTTCTATGCTACAAAATTAATAATGTTGAAAGGGCTTTAAAATGAGAATTTTCTTTTACAAATGAATTTGCAGGTGATCTAGAGCTGGTGCTTCAAGTCAGAATTCAGAGCCCCAAAGAAAATGACTTCATTGACGTTGACTGAACAAAGAGCTGCTATCAAAACCAACTAAAAGTGAGTTGCTGTGAACTGGAGATTAATCTAGCATATGAAATATATCATCCCTCACCCCCGAATTCCCAATAGCTCAGTGTTAAGACATTACATGAACACAGGCATTACATGAACACTTATCTCACCCAACTGTACAAAAAAGAGACATTTTAAATGCTGTGGGGTGGGTGCAGAAATGGTACTTTTTCATTCATGAATATGAGTGAATCTGACCTGAATCTGCAGTTTGCCCATTATCCATGGACCTTTTTAAAAGTTATTTCATGTTTTAAACTTGTCACTCTGGTGAGATGACTGATTTGGGAAATAAATTCAAAGGCAAGCTCTCTACCTGCTCAGGCCAAGGAAATGGTGGGAGCCTCCATAGGCCTCACAGAAGCACCTCTGCACTGAACATACTCACCTAAGTAATGTTTTTTAAGACAGCATGGCCCCTGACACAAGCCATCCTACAGTGCTATGTTCCCAAGGATGTCATATGGGTGTCAGGGGTCAATTCCCAAGTGCCACCTCCATAACGTATTTTCAATTTTTAAAACTTTGAGGGAAGAGAGGGTTAGAAACACCAATGATGAGAATCATTGATCAGCTGCCTCCTGCATGCCCCCTACTGGGGGATCGAGCCTGAAACCCGGGCATATACCCTGACCGGGAATCAAACCATGACCTCCGGATTCATGGGTCAACGCTCAACCACTGAGCCACATAGGCCAGGCTGATTTTGTTTTGAAATAGTGAGGACAATTTAGTTAGGCAGGGCTCAGGGTTGGCGATGTTGATAGCCTGAAACCATCATTTATGCAAATGTGAGATTTTAGGTTGTTTTTTAGTGAATATAGCAGAATCAATTGAAAAAATTAATGTTGGGAGGAAAGCTTACACTATCCTAGTAGCAGAACATTAACAGGTTTTACCTAGTGCAGTGGTTCTCAACCTGTGGGTCGCGACCCCTTTGGCGGTCGAACGACCCTTTCACAGGGGTCGCCTAAGACCATCCTGCATATCAGATATTTACACGATTTATAACAGTATCAACAATACAGTTATGAAGTAGCAACGAAAATAATTTTATGGTTGAGTCACAACATGAGGAACTGTATTTAAAGGGCCAGAAGGTTGGGAACCACTGGCCTAGTGGTTGGTTACAATAAGATAACAAGGGCAGCAATTTAATTATCACAAGGATCAGAAAATAGCCATTCCAAAGTTGTTAAACACAGCCTGCACCAATATATATATTAAAAAAATGTATTTCCTATGATAAACTTGAACAGTAATAAGGCTGCAGATTAATACAAAAAATTCGAGGTGCTTTAAGAGTAATTATAGTTTCACTTCATCCACAGGCTGTGAAAACTAATGAGTAAGGTGCAATTCCACTGAAAACTTTCTCATTTTAAGATTTTTTTAAGACACTGAAATGAACCAAGTACCAGAATGCTGTCTTTAAAGTTTCAGGACATATTTAGGTTAAAATATAGAATGATCTAGAATTCTTGGTCTCCCACAGTTCATTTACAACAGGGTGACTGGCAGCTCCTAACTCCGCCCTTTTACACCCTTCAGAGCTGAAGTCCAGGGAGGAGCGCCTGGCCATCAGGATAAGTCCTGAACTCACCCCAGGGGGATCCCCGTCTCACTTGGGGAGAGTGTTTGGGAACAAGAGGGCCACTGCTAATCAACACTTCACATGTCATGGCGCCCCCACTAGGAGTAGAACAAGACCAAAAGGCAGCAGGTTCTCTGAGGTGACAACCTAAGCAGAACAAAGGGAAGGACCGGAGGCCAGCTCTTCTGGGCCCAGCAGTTTTCCTTCCTGGAATGGCGTAACCTGAGAGAAGAGCTTTCCTGGAAGCTGCTTTAACAGCAGAACAAAAGCATCCGCCCCCTGGCTGACATCCCATTTCTAGCTTTTAAAAAACGTTAAGACCCTACATTTGGCACTCAAGGAACTGTACCTTTTAAATCTGCCAAACTGAAGGAGGGCTCATGTCACAAAATACACTGTGAATACATCTATTTTATTAGGCACTACCTACACCAAAACCTGTCCCTTTTTAACTTGAAATTTTATTAAGAAATATCATACAAACAGAAGCACACAGGGTACAGCCAGAAGAAACCACGCACTCAATTCCATGTATTTAACAGCCTGGTTCTGACCTTCACAGAAATAGCAGCCGAGTGGAAGTGTTCTTCTGCAGCTTGCTTTTCTGACCAGTCATCCATGTTCACACCTGTAGCTGTAGTTCAGGTTGACTTGTGTGGAATTCCACTGTAGAATATATCACAATACTTATCCAGTGGATTATTAATGGACATTTGGGGGCCTTTCCAGGTTTTTGTTGTTTTTTCCCTTTTCTTCCTACTACAAATGACACTGTTATAACATTCTAAGTCCATCTCCTGGCACACATGTGTAAAGAGTTTCTCTAAGGTATGTATCTAGGGGGTTAGAAGAGCCACAAGAAAAAATTATGACACAGCCAGTGTCAACCTATCTCCCATTTTTTCTGAATATTCTTAAATCTGTTGACAACTGATCTATTTGGGATGGCTGAGAGGAAGAGAAAGATTAACTATGAAACGCTCAAACTGCATTGTTAAAATAGACACTAAAAATCTGATACAGTGAAAACCATTTCTCAGCATTGGTTTACTTGAAACGTACTACTAGGTCTCCCATGTTTCAAAATGCAGGAGTGAGACAGCAAGATTCACAACATGTGGTATACTATCATATATTATAAAAAACTACACATGCAGGCTTACATCCCCCCTAAGCCCACGTCCCCACAAAACACCACTTGGAAGAGTAATTGTTAACAGTCGTAGCTCCTGTAGAGGAAGAACAGAGGGACAGGAGAAGGAAAACATGGATCACTAAACACTTCTACTGATGTATTGTTTAAAATTTTTAAAAAATTTTATTTTTCTACCGTTGCTTTTTTTGAACCATGTACAAGCACTATGATTGTGATACAAATTTTTTTTAAAAAGTAGTCAGCTGGGGTTCTTTGACACAAAAAAACTAAAAATCAGTCCGAACTCAAACTTGTAAATCCAAATGAAGTCCCATTCCACAGAAAGTGTAAACAATTCTCAAGTGTATTTCCTGTTTCATGCACTTTAGAAAAAAATGTTTAAAAACATTCACACAGCTTATCTACAATGCATTTTTAAAAGCACAGAATGGATGCAAGCCCAAAAAACTTCTAACCTAGGTTGTGTTTTAACATCTCTAGGAACTTAATCGGAAGGTGGCTGAACTCTACGCGTATGTGGAGACACGAACATAACACCTGCAGCAAAGTGATGCTAAAAGGAGAGGACAGAAACACCTAAGGTGGGCGATATGCCTAGCTTATTATAAACTCAAGGTAAGAAACGTATTTCAATTCGAACTAAAAAAATATATTGTGATTTGTTTAAAAATAAAGTCTTAACAAAAGGGGTAGATCAATACAATGTACAAGAGTCTCTACATTGCAGTTGGGAGGATGCCAGAGCAGGAGACTCAATTCCCAGGGCAATTAAAAAAAAGAGGCACCACAAAAAGTAAGCTATCCGAGTGATACCATAGGTGATGGCTGGTCAATTAAAAGTTCACCCCATTTATTTTAATCAATGAATTGTTTAAAACCTTTTCTTTTAGAGACATATGCTGAAATATTTACAGATTAAATGATTCATGTGAGACCTGAAAATAATTAAGGGGGGGGGGCGGGGAGTAGGGGGACAAACACACATACAAAATAAGATAAGCCTTGAGTATTACCAGTGATGAGTTTTAACAGAGGTTAATGATACCGGTTCTACTATGTGTATGTCTTTTATTGGCTCCCCTTAAAGGCTTTTCAGAAAGGAAACATGCATTAACCAACTAGCAACTTTTAGGTCTGCAAGGCTGAAATGTGTATTTCTTATACAGAGCCTCTTAGTACTGGATTCTTATGAATTTGATTACTAAGAATCATTTCCCCTTAAGCCTAATAAATTTTGGGTGTTGGGAGTGACCCAACTTCTAGAGCTCCATAACTAATTAATCCTGGACACTTTAAGGAGCCAGGCCTCCCTCCAAATCCCACATAACTTCAATATCAACCTAAGTGTTTGTAGAGATATTCATTTCCTGTACATTATTAAAACGTTAGCTATTCCAAGTGAGGCAGAAAGGAATAATAAACCTGGCATTTTAATACCTTAATACTTAATAATAGAATATAGTAAACTGTCACTTTAAATTCTTTCTCCCTACAGGTAATCATGTCTAACTACACAAAGCAATGCTTGGAGGTGGCTGATTTTGTGTTAGATTGTTTTTTCATCCCATCTTAATTATCATGTGAATCATCTTTGACAAATTCAGATAACCCATTTGCTGCATCTTCAGAATCACTTAGGTAAGCCAGGAGTGCAGTCCTCAAAGCATTATCTCATAGAGCCTCTGAATTGTCAGCTTCATGGTTTTCCAAAGCTGGGTGGAGAGTATTTTAGTAAATTCTGTGACAGTTCATTATGCCTATTGAAAAAATGCAGTGGCATAACACTGAGGCACAGACCTACTAGATTCCATGTGCTAGCTCTCCAACATGGAGCCAGATGACCTTGGGTAAGTCATTTAAACCACTTACTCAATTTCTTTACCTATAAACTGATGGCAATACTTGAAAACTATAAATCACAAAATATGACATGTAACGAGGTAATTTTATACAGTCGTTGACAGAGTGGGCTATCAATAGGAACTCGCTACCAAATTTTCTATACGTGGCCAAAGGGGAAAGAAATCATCAGCTTATCCATCAGTTTTTAAAAAAATCCTTGTTAAACGTATTACACACCCATAGAAATTTACATTTGTATTCTAACAAGATTGGGTAAAAGAAATCTTGATACACGATTTAAAACAAAGACCAAAAATGAGTTAAAAGTTCTTGAATGCTCTTCTACATCATTATATCACAGCTAGAGGATAGTGATCATCAGACGGATGTGTTGAATTTACTACCACTAAAGATATCTTTCAGAGATGTAAAAATATATTCTAGTGCACTATACATCTTTGCTACTTAAAAGCAAAATTCAAATTTACTCTTAACTACCCCAAATTGAAGCACCATTATTAAAAACATTTAAACTGTGGAAATGCTATAAAAATTAGTCTTAAACAGAACCACATAAAACTGTGCACTAATACCTCTAGTGTAACAGTGTACCTCTTATATTTAAAACAAGGGACTAGTTCAGAGTCAATGCCTTTATTAGAAAAAGATGAATACTAAAACTTCCAATGACAGAGACAATCAAATCTGTAACAGAAAGTCAGAGATACTTTATTTTCACTTCTAAATCCAAAGGCTAGGAATAGCAGTTGT